TGAGGCACGGGAGTGCCTGATTAGGAAGCGGAGACGGGGAGAGCCAGAGCGGGCACGCCCGACGGTGCCAGGGTCCCCATGTCAGCCAGCAAGCATGTGTCATTCACGACAGCAGCCCTTTCCCGGGCGCTGTCCGTCAGAAGCACCTTCCTGTCATTCTCCCGCCCGATTGTCACCAAAGGCTGGAGCCGGTGGCGCCTGCTCACAGGGTAGGACTGAGCTCAGAGGAGGGGCAGTGACCGGGGCCTCGCCGGCTCAGGCTGGGTGACAGGGAGAGGAGTGGGTGGATCTGCAAACGCTTATTTTTTTTATGTCTGACACTTTATTACTTTAAAAAAGGAAAGGGAGGAGGACAATGCTCGCACCTAAAATTGCGATGTTTCACCCTCCATGTAATTTTGAAAATGACAGTTTTCTGGTGGTGCACTTTTTTCAGCAGAAAAGCAGAAGTCTCCTTCAAGTATGGCTGAACATTTCATGGTAGTTTTAAGAGGCCCCAAACCAATGACAGGGAGCACGTGCTTCTCTCTCATGACTCAACTTTTATGGAATTTAAATTTACCATAATAATCAAGTGGTCCACCCTCTGTGAACGTCCCCCTCGCCCCACTGTGTCATTCTCACATCTGCGTCCCTTTCACCCTAATTCCTGTTATGTATGAGGCGCGGGTTGGCCCAGCAAGCCTCACGCGCTGGGCTCAGAGTAAACGTGGCCCTTCTCACCCAGAGCTGGGCACCCACCTTGGGAGCCCGAGCAGGGAACAGCCTGGGCTCCGGGCGGGAACACAGCGCTCCAGCCTCAGTTTCCCCATCTGTGGCATGGGTGTGATGCACTCTCACAGGGTTCTTGTCAAGACCAAACACAGGCTGGGAGGTGGAGGGTAGCCTGGACTTCCTAAGATGCCACCCTGTGCCCCCCCATGGGGCTGTTATAAATGAGGGTCTTGCATGGAATTCCCCTGAGTGGAGGCTGGGAAATATGTCAAGCATCAGGGGAGGGGGTGGAGGTCTCATTAAACGTCCTGCATGTGCCTGAGGAGGAGCACAGCAGGCCACGGACACCCCCAAACCATCCTTTGGGCCCTTGCAGTTCTGGGCGTCAGCCTGACACCTTTTATCCACTGGGTGACAATGGGTGCATTCAATCGTCCTCTGGCAAGTATCTGCTGGGCTCCCAGCATGGGTGAGTTGCCCGGTCCTGCCCTCAGGCCAGTCACAGAACTAGCTCTGGAAAGTCCCTGAAGCCCTTCACTTTGCACTGTGGGACTCTGTGGCCCAGACAGGAATCTGGGGTCCGGTGCTGGTTCGTGGTGGCCGGACCACCTCTGGCCTCTGTCCTGTCCTGCTCACCTCTGTCCACTCCTGTGCCAGTGCCTCCTGCTTTGACCATACTGGCATTATAGTCCGTTCTACTATTCTCTTTCAAAATTTTCTTGGAAAATCTCAAACGTCTATTCTTCCCTACAAACTTCGCAATCAGCTGTCCAGTTTTCCTCTAAACATGCCACAAACAAATAGACAAAACCAAACCAAAAGAAGCAAACAACCAACCAACAACTGACAAACCAGGAATATAAACAATGATCCGACCAGAAGTTGATCAAAAGGAAACCATCGTCACCGCCCAGCCATGGCCTCTTCAGCCAAACTGGATGCAAACAAAAAAAGTGACCACAAATGTGCAATCATTATTCTGAGTAACCCTCGGATTAAAAAGAAATAAAAGTGGAAACTGCTAGAAAATTAGTAAAAAGTAGAAGAACTCATGTGAAAAGCTTGTGGGACACACACGCATCACAATTAGGGAAAACGCGACACGTTACGTTCTCTTCCTACTGAAAGAGAAAGCCCAACATAAATGAGTCACTTTACTTACTCATTTAAGAAATCAGAAAAAATGACAACAGAAAAGACAATGAGAAGAGGATGTTAGCAGAGATGAAAACTGAGACGAATAAACTGGACGGGAATGAGGAAAGGGATAAAAGTTGATTCTTTGAAAAGAGGAATAAAACAGATGAGCTGTCGGCGAGTCAGATGAAGAGAAACAAACAAAAGTCTCCAACGTTAAGCGCAGAAACAGGTATCACCACGTACATAAGTGAGATGTCACGTCGTGTACGGAGCAGACCGACTACGGAAATTGGCACGTACGTAGATAAGATGATGTCAGGAGACACGTGCGCAAGTCCTTGGCAATGTGCTGAAAAATGCAGGAGGACGGCCTGCTTCCAGATGACAAGAACTGACCCAAGAAGAGATGGAAAGCTGAAACGGACCTGTGGCAGGAAAAGACGGAGAAGGGAACAAAGGTGTGTTATTTCCCGTGACAGAAGCTGCAGTGTTTACAGGGAAGTTCAGTCAACCTTTCAAGAAAACTGAATTCCAGGGCTGTTTTGACTATTCCACGTGACGGGAGAGGATGGTAAACCTCATCAATTCACTCTATAAAACAAAATGATCTGAACACTAAGAAATCTGAAAAATACGGCACCATCAAGGAATTACAGATGCAAAAATTCATGACAACACTTGAGGAATCAGCTCCACTGTGGCCCGGCGTCCACGGTGTGGGCCCCAACCCGAGCTGCTCTGCGGGACCCCAGCAGCTGTGTGCTGGACTTCGCTTCTAGCACCCGGGACTGCCGCTCGGTCTGGGCCCCGGTGGGGAGGGCGCGCCACAGGGCTGGCATGAAGGGTGTGAGGGGCAGGCGGAGCTGGGCGTGGCGTACTTGGGCGCAGGGCAGGGAGGAGGCCGGGTGAGAGTCCAAGGGCGCTGAGAGCCCCTCTGGTCCACTGAGGCTGGGACCCGGTGCCTATCCGAGGATCACAGCGGGCGGCCCCTCCAGGTGGGCACGAGGAGGGTGCATGGGCGATGCGGGTGGTGCCAGGCCTCCCTCCTGCTCAGGCCGGCTGTGGCCCTGCACTCTGCCCTGTTGTTCTGTTGAATTCCCAGGGTAGTCCTGGAAACGGGGAGGGATCTGCTCCCAAACAAGAATCTCACTGTTTGCATAACACAGCCTACCATTTAATTAGAAAAATATGTTTTTAATTAACTTTCTCTTGACAAACACATCGGCTTCTATGAAATGGGGGAGAAACCAGTCCATGGAAGGGAAAGAAGTTGCGTAAAACACGCCGCTTGCTCTAGAACACGCCAGCGGCTTTGTAGAGCTGGGAGAGGTGCCGGGCCTGTCCCGTGGGTCCCAGTGACCTGACCTGCCTTGGCCACGTTCCGAGCCCCCCACCGGCTGGAAACACTGGCCCTGAGCTCTCTGCTGGGCCTGCTGTTTGTCAAAAGTGGGGGCCTGTGGGTCCCAGTGACCTGACCTGCCTTGGCCACGTTCCGAGCCCCCCAGCCGGCTGGAAACACTGGCCCTGAGCTCTCTGCTGGGCCTGCTGTTTGTCAAAAGTGGGGGC